ACACAACAAAGAAATTCATTAGAGATACACTGCATATGCTGTAGGATAGTTTATCTAGGTCTTACCTTTGAACTGCCAGTACCTTCCTATTCCTTTCTAAGGGTTACTTTCTTCTTGCAGAGATGAATACTGTTACATTTTTTAGCTTGCCAAGTACTCTGGAGACCTGATATTAAGTATTTATTAGAGTTCTTGGCTTTTGCTTTCTCTACAGAGGACCTAATGGATGGTTTAGGAGTATTTTAAAAGTGACTCCGTTCATTGAGACCCTCCTTACCCTATAGAATTGTAAAAAGAAAATGCTCTTACCCATCAGCACACACATAAAGCCACTCTCTGGCCTTATGCTCATTAAGAATTACAAAAAGGAGTTCAGCAAGAATCAGTATTACTGAGGTACAACCTGCAGTTCACTTGCCTTTAACTTTGAACATTATTACCTGAGAATTAATTGAACACTACACTTCCCTCCCCTGTAATAGTTGCAGTTTCCATGGCATTCTGCCCTTTCCTAGCCTACTTGAGAATGTTAAGATTCATAATTTAACTTAAGTCACAGTTTTCATATAAAGAGCACTCTACATTCAAACACTACTGTGCTGCCAGTTCCATGACTGTCATTTACCAGTACCCAGTGAAAATGCAAACACAGCAGCCAAAGCTTCTTGCTGCCTAAATGTAGCCCAGATTACCAGCTGACAGCACAAACAGCACTCCAGCAGGTGATATAACAGGTATGGGGGTCTATATATAAACACAGCAGCTCTACACTGAGCCATCTCTCCACTCCAAGCAGCTCCAGTTTATTAATCCCACAAGCCATTCACAGACCCAGAAAATCTTAGATGCTTCACCAGCTCCTCTTCCACCAGCTCCAGGTTACTGTGACATGGGCAGAACAGCAGCAGGAGTGGAGAAAGAGGAACTTGTATGAATGAACACTACAGTTTCGGTAACAAGCTGCTGGAAATTTCAGTTTAACTCAGATTTTGCATGAAAAATAATTATATACACTTCTGAAATGTACCAATGTATCTACAAAAAATATGTATTTCCAGCTAAATGGGCACCAAATAAGATGCCCACTTGCTCAACTAACAATAATAAATTCATGCCAGAAGAAGAGTTGGCTCTCCTTGTACCCCACTGTGTACCTGCCCCAATTGCAGACAGTGCAAGGTTTGCAACAGTCTACCCCTTGGTAGATAAAGGTCTGCTCTGACCCAGACCTAACACCTGTCACAGCCTCAATCTGTTTATTTTATTATTAAAAGATCTAAGAAAACTCATCCTTAACATTTCATGACAAATCACCATCACTATTAACTCCTCTTCCTTAAAAACAAACAAACCCCAAGAACACCTAGACTGTTATATTATTATTTTTCCACCTATTGCATCCAGTATTTGACATTAAATAAAAAAGCCTGACATTTCCAAGTTGTTATCTCCAGTTCCACACTTGTTACAATATTCCTCAATAACAGCTAGCATTTTTACTGAAAAATTCTGTTCTTAACAACACATTCAGCGTTCAGAGTCAACACGTCCAGGTTATTTGGTAAAACAAGATTTACCTCATCAGATGTAAGAATTTTTCTTGTCCAATCTGACTTATCACACCATTTGAGACTAGACTAGCTAAAAGAATTTACACTGCTTCAGGAACAGCTACAAAATCCATATGGACACACACAAAACCACATTATCATTGTCAGAAACACCATGCCAGAACATCCACTGACTTCACCAAGAAAAATGTGTGCTCCTACATTAGCCTTTCAAACTTCAGCACAAAAACACCAGCCACATTTGAAACATCTAAATGTATTCTTCACACATCTGAAATGTGCTTGCTGATGGTTCCTACTTATTTCTTTTAATTTTGATGGCAGAAGATAAAAGCAATCCAAAGTTGAAAACAAGTATCAGTACTGCTTCTAAACCATTGATAAGAAGGTAGAATTCCTAAAAACAAATCACTTCACACTCCTGCAGTCAGAACTACCAAAATTATGGGCATGTTATTACCAAACATAAAATCATACTTACATTTCGATTAAATTTTGTGAAGGAATGATGCATATAAAACCTGTGCATGTAAACAATTGCTGTATTTATCGTAAGCTGAGATCTGGAGGATTAAATGAAGGAAACACTACATATAAGAAAATTGTCTACAAGAACTGAAAGCCACGCACTTTCCACATCAATCACTGCTCTCAACATACTTTCTTCAGCCGAAAATGGATTAGAGACGTGACACTTCAGAACTTAACTGATATTAACACATCCTTATCTGATATTAACACGTATCGCTCCCATCTGCCTCGCAGACCATGTGGAGATTCCTACGCCAGGCTCCGCACAGTCACCCACGGAATGAAAACTCCTCAATGGGCGACCTACACTGAAACACTCTCTCAAGTGCTTTTGTTTGTTCCAGTTCAACTATTTCAGTAAAGGATTCGAGGGTTTGGCCTTGTTCTGATCGATTTTTTTTCCCCTTTTAAAAATCACATTAAAGAATGGCTAAAGAGAAGTTGCCCGTTTCGGGGAAAAGAGCAGCTGGGATTTACTTCAGAAGTGCCCCGAGCCGCAGCCACGGCCACGAAGGCAGCGGAGAGGGCAGGTGGGAGCCGAGTCCCTCACCCGCCGACAAAGAGCGCGGCGCGGGGGCTTCGCCAGGCTCCTCCTCCCATTCTGTGCTCCAGGCCACGGCTCCATCCCGCGGGAGCGCCGGCCGGGGCCGCGGAGCAGGGAGAAGGGCCCCGGGGAGAGCTCCCACACGAGGGAAAATGTCTCCCGCCCCTCCACACGCGGCCCCCGCCGCCCTCACGCCCGTCCCGCCCGGCCCCGCTCGGATACACGTTGAGGCGCTGGCCCATGTCTTGGATGAGGTTGGCCGCCTGCTGCCGGTATGAGAGCTCCTTGTCGGCCTCCACGCCGCAGCGCCGCGAGGGCGTGTTCTCCAGCTGCTCGCGGCTAAAGAACCAGCGCGACGCGGCCGAGGAGCCGCCGCCACCCCGCGCCGCGGACCCGGCGGAGCCCGCGCCCGCCGCCGCCATGACACCTCCTCCTCCTCCTCCTCCGGCGCCGCCTCCCGCCGCCTCCATCGCGGCTCTCGCGAGAGCTCCAGGGCCCGCGCGCGCCCTCCGCCATAGAGTCTCGCGGCGGGGCGGCCGCGCGCCGGGCGGGGTCACGTGACCTACAGGGCATGAGGGGGGGCGGCCATGGCGGCCGCGGGGTGGGGATCGTGAGGGGATGGAGCCGTGGGGTCATGGTGCTGTGGAGCCTGGAAGGGACCTTCACAGCACCGCCACTGTAACCCCTATAAACCAGCGAACCCCATCGCCCAGTGCCGGGGTTGAATACCTTGAGCACTTCCAGGGGTGCTGACTCCACCACCTCCCTGGAGGACCTACCCCATTGCCTGACCGCCCTATAACTGCGTATCTATTTCATACGATAGTTCAAATATTCAGCCTCGGTCTGGATACCTTTATAGTTAATAAAGTGAAGAATAAAGATAAAAAGTGTTAGAAGTGAGGATTCCTTTTTTAATATAAGCAAATCACAGAATAGCCCGCTTGTAGGAGGACGTGGAAAGGGAGGAAGGAAGTAAAGATTTAGAGTGCAGGAATAGTTCCTAGAAAATTCCTGTCTGCTGGCAATATCAGCCCTGAAACACTTGAGAAATGCGCGAGGAAATTAAGGCCCTTGTGTTATTGCAGGTGAGCAGCTCCAGGATGTCAGTGATGTTGTCCTCACTGTGCACTCTGTATTCAGCTATGGATTTTCAGCAGTGCTTTGAGTTTATGGATTCAAGGTTCAAAGGGTGCAAAAAGGTATTTACAGTTCTGATCAGCGTGGATGAAAATGAGAGCTCCAAGTGTTCCGCTCATGATCGGTACATGTGCCATTAGCAGCCTGCAGTGGTTTTGTTCACCTGAAGTTACATCACAATGAGTTCTTTTACAACTTCGGTGCCAATTTTGTACAAGTAATTGTAATCTTAGAACTGGACCCGACAGAATACTGATGAAATATATAGATGTGTGATGCAGCACAGACACGAATTACTTGGCTGATCTTCCCAAATGTGCATCATCTTTAAATCCTCCATGTGCAGAGGAAATTTAACCTCAAAGACTTCTCATGTAATTAGCTGATCTTTGACTTCATATTTTTGTGTCTGTAACAATCAAGGTACAATGTTTTACCTCATTGTTTAAATCACTGTGTAAAGCTTATGGAGTTTGGGTGTTCAACTTAGATTCTTTATTCCTGCAGTAATTGGTGGAGGAGTATTAAGAATGTTCTCATCTGACTGCAATTAGAATTTTACATTAGCTTTGTTAATGAAATAAAAAGATGGAGGGAAGATTATATATATATATTCCTGTCTTAAAAATCTTAACATATCAAGAATAGGTAGAATATCATTAAATAATGACAGTGCATAATGAATATGATTTATGCAGGGTATGCACATTAATTAACTCCCATGCAGAGTATTGCAATCACCCATTTAGTCATAGGTTCTGGTAATTAAATACTGTTCTTGCTATTGGAGAGGTTCCAGACCTTGGTCCCCAAAGATGTGACATTGCATTTTCACTAACTTAACTGGCTTCATTCATTAAAAAATTGAAGAATTAATCCAACTAAAATATATTGGAGGAATCACAATGTATTTTCCTCTTAAATCCATTTCAACATCTGTGAGAATCATGTATACTGAAGGGAAATATGAGAATGAGATTGCCTTTTGACTTTGAAATTTATTTAAAACAATCTGATTGAAAAATCATGCATGCTGAAAACTCAATGCTTGCATGTGGATATTTAAATAAAAACAGTCAATAAGACGTCTTGTGAACCTAGGACAATAAATATTGTTAAAGTGGTTTACTGGCTCTTGTTTTCCTCTTACATAAAAACTTGATATTCTAAACCTCTGGGCTGCTGACTATTTTTGTGTGTGTGTGTGTGTGTGTGTGTGTTTGACACTGTAAAGAAGGACAGAGCTTTCTTTGTAGTCCAACAGAGGCTGGGATGAGCAGGAACTGCTGATGTTCAACATCCTTCAGGTTCAGTCTGTGACAGCTATGGCCGCAGCTAAAAAAAACTTTATTTTAAAATACTGTTTTGCCTGGAATGTGCCAAGACTGAACAGAAGAATGGTGACACCACACGTAGCCAGCCAATGTTCCCATGAGAACAAAGACTGTAAGTGCTGATCCACATTTCTCTGACTGGCACAAAGTTCTCTCAGGAGGAGGATGCCTGTGCCCTCACTGGATAATAATGAAAACCTGTTTCAATCAATAGTCTATAAAGCAAATCATCTTTCCATTCCTATAGCAGGACTCAAGCTAAGGAGAGCATTAGCACTTCCACATTTAAAGTTTCCAGCATTATTTTTAGGAAGCATTTTGTAAGGAATAGAACATTAACTCATACTGTTGCCAAACACTTTATATATTTGCCAGTATTTATTGTGACAGTGACAGTGACACACCAAGTATTACCCACACAAATACATTATTTCTGCACCTACAACCATATTGTTCAGTTGTTTCTGATTAATAAGTTCCCAGTGGTGTAGGTGGCAGCTAAAATGTAAAGTCCCCACACAGACCTTTTCCATCCTGTCACAACATTGACAAAGCATGAGTGCACCTGCAGTGCTGAGCTGAGCGTGGTGTGCTGCATTTTCCACCAGTGGATAAAAGCAAATGTTGCCTTTTACATCAACATCAACATTGTTTAAATTCTGTTTTTATATTCTTTCAAATTCTGTTTGTCTGTTGTAACAAAGACAGAAATGTAGTGGGTACATCACTTTCTCAGCTCTTTCATTCCTGAGAATCGAGTCCTAATAACATGGCATTGATTATATTTCAGAGATTCTTATTACAACTGCAAAAGATGAAATCTTTCCTTTATTATGAAAGCAAGGATTTCAGAATTGTTTAAAAACAGCCTAAATCCTCAGGCAATATCTGTGCATACTCATTTCCAGTACCCTTGCTTTTGTTTTGGAAATAAGAGGAGACTGTCAGATAATTGTCAATTTTATTTTTTATGTGTACAATTGCATATGTCAATAGAAATATAAGGATATTATTTCCGAAGTTTAGGTGCTTTGATACTTCATAATTATTCAAATTGTTTTCTGCTAAGACCTAAAAATTCCAAAGCATTTCCAGCCTTGAGTTTATCCTGTAAAAACAAAACACATCGATATGTTTGTGCTTAGCTTGTATTCAACTCAAATGCTTTTTCTTGTGCTTTGAAAAGAACTGCTGCAAAGAGACTGAAGGGCCTCTTCCAGTCTTTGCAGAAATCCGTGTACTACACGGATTTCTCAGTGTTTTATCTCATGTCTCAAACAGAGGGAAAGAAAACCCCTCAAATGTAAAAATCATACCTTCAGTTTATGGTCAAAATCATCCATTGAATCAATCAATTTTCCAGGTTCCAGTTCTCCAAGTGGAAAAGGGTAATCTGTCCCCAAAATAACTTTGTCCTGGTAATAAAAAAAAATTGTACATTTTGTGGTAACATTAAACAATAGAGTTACTGTAATATTATTATTAACATGATACAGTATTACAGTAATACTAACATTATATTTGAAACTAGTACATTTTAATTTTTTCAGATTTTTAATTTCGTTTCAATTAACATTAAGCAATAGGGCACATGCTTTCTGGAATGTATAATGAAGTACAAGAAATTAGATGTATATATTGGACTGATAATTACAAAAGTGAATATGAAGAGCATAACTTCCACTAGGAAAAGAATAAGCCTTAAAAACAATGACTAAAGAGTTTTTTTGGATGACTTTTATTTGGGAAAAAAATGCAGGTTATTTATTAATAATTTTTGTGGTGTCTAACTGAAGTTATGTATTTTAATTCTGATAAGCATAAAGTTAAAAATGCAAATCCCAGGCCTGTGCATGAGTGTCTATTGCTTGGGTGAATAAAACAGAACTTGTTATAATGTTTGAACTCTTGTTACCAGGTTCAATACTGAAATAGGGTGAAGAAAACACCATTCAGTTATTTTTGAAATGGTTTGTTTTTCTTATTTGTCAAATGCTTTTTAAAAAAAAAATTTTTTTAGAACACATTTCCTACTCAGACTGATTTTCTGTACTGTGGTGCTGATTTGAAAGGTAACAGCCCCTGCAAGTGGTCTGCATAAACTGCAATGGTTAATCTTGGTTAAGTGTTGCTGTAATTAAATGGCCAATAAAGGATACACAGAATTCTTCCTTCTGAGTTTTGACTTACTCATTCCATGCTCTGCACTGGTGTGTGAAGTATAAAATGAGACTTTTGGATACATTTCTTTAAGACTCTCAGGAAGTTCTCCACCAAACTCAGAAAAGATGCTTGGATTTGCAGTCCTGAATTTGAAATTTTTGGCTGAATGCACCCACACAAATTTAAAATTATCAATGGGTGAGAAGAATGTGTAATAAGAAATACAAAACAATAAAAACTGTCTGTGTATTTTAAAAGGTGTAATAATGACAATAGGGTACTACTGAAAACATGATACAGTATAAAATTACTACAAATACTTAAATTAAAAAAAAATTAACTGGTATTCAGCTTCAGATAACAAAACCTAAATCTCATTTACAAAATTTCATATATTTCTGGAAGTCTGCAGCTTTTTAAAAATGTCACTGTCTTTGGCTGGGACTGGATATTAACTGTGAGTTTGAAAACTGTGAGTTTGTTTCTGAAAGTAAGTCAGTGAGAAGAAAATTCAATAAAAATCTGTGTGCAACATCCCTGTTATCAGAGATGAAAAGAAATGAGCAGATCCTCAATAGGACCATATTGTTCCAGGCTCATTTTCTCTCTGGCATGATATTTCCCTATTTTATCAGCCTTGGAGAGTGCATACTGCCAACTCTCCTGATTTTATCAAAAGTCTGTTTTCCGTTACTCTTCATCTCCTGAAGACAGGAGTATTTGAAAAACCTGAGTTTTCATTAAAAGTGTATGTTCTTAAATGTCTCATGGATTTGAAGTTGAAATGATGAATTTTGGACACCTGTTATAATGTTTGAATTCTGTTACCAGAGTTTTCTTACTTTTCTTTGTTTTTCTTACTTGTCAAATGCTTTTTAAATTTTTTTTAAATCTCCACTAGATGTCACCCAAAAGTCTCTGAAAGAGCCTACACAAACCTTTACCCAAAATCTAAACAGAAGAGACACATTCTATTGTTCTCTCCCATGTTCTGTCCTGTGTTCTAATTTATTATAGAAGAATTAACATAAGACTAACATAGGAAAGTTTATACCCTCTGCCTAATAAATCCAGTTCTGAGCATAGACTATACAAAATAGATTGGGATGTGTGCACTTTGAAGAGCTAAATATATTCATTTATTTATAATATTCGATTAAATACCAAGACGCTTTATTCAGATAAGAAAAACAAATGTCATGTATTTTATGATAAAACATCCCAACTAAAAAACATACCAGGTTTATATGAGAAAGTGGATTTCTAAGTAAAAGAGAAGAAAACCTAGAATTTGTCCATCCGTTTACTAGGGAAAGTCATGTAAGGTTTGTATATTCTTGTTTACATCTCCTATATACTAAAACAGAAATAAATCCCACATCCTTACTGGGATAATATAGTTCTGTTCATCTCTATGTAGATATGTTTTTTCCCTTTATTTGAAAGTATTTCACAGCTAATCATGGGATCTATTCATTAGTAGTAAAGTTAAGAGCTGTAAATCAGTAAGAAAAATGTAGAAGCAGCATTCTTGCTGTGCTCCCAGCGATCTTAGGCTATTTATTTGTACCCTTTGAGCTTCAGTTTTGTCCCCATCTATAAAATGGGGGTTGCAACACCTGTCTTCAGCAACGAGCTTCAGAGGAGTGCTGTGAAGCCTCTGCAGATGAATAATGCTGCTAGCATAAGGGAAGTACTGTTATATTATTCCAAACCATATCAACAAAGTCAATTTTCCCTAGAAGACTTGGAGGTCGCTTCCTTAATTAGCACATCTCTCCTATTAGAGAGGTACATGGGGCTAATGATTAACCTCAGTGGATGCTGCTACTCAGCACAACTTTTTTTCACAGTAATAAGGACCCAAATCTGAAAATGAATCTTAAAAAGCTTTAAGCATCCTCTTACATAAGGAAAAATTGTATTTGCCTTGAATTTCTCCTTCTTTCCTAATACCATGATACACCAGAAAAAAAGTCCAGAATGCTACAGTCAGTTCAGCTCCAACTTCTGGCCAGAGAATGCTTTGCCTTTGGATGATGGCTCTGGAGGAATCACCATGGGGAAGTTTTTGCAGAGATGCTCTGAATCATTTAATCCCATGTCAACTCAGTTCTTCACTTTTTACAGCCAGCAATATTGGGACTTTTGTGTTTATTTGCATTCACCTCATGCTACCTCATCACGGGGGGAGCGAAGGACTGCAGCAATTCTGCACTCTTGCAGAATTCTTTCTCACAAATGTGTATTTCTGCTTCCATGCCCAATTAACCTAGACCCCGAACTAAGAAGGGAGGAGGTTAAATGGACACGACTCCTCACAGCTGTCAGTGGATTTTAACATTGATCAGCTCAAGGCCACGCGCTGGTGCCAGGCAGTGGCTGTTCCCCAGGGACCCACGGCCATGTCCAAGCACATCTTCCCTCACACTGATGCCCTTCCTGCACAGCTCTGAGCTGTTCTCTGGAGAGCTGGCCTATTTCAAACCTCCAGCTCACAAAGTTACAGTGTCAGCCTCAAGACTCCATCACATTGTTTTTAGCCCAGCATTTATTAATCTTATATGTGTTACTCTGCCAACACATTCCTGCACTGAAAGTGCTGAGATATTTGGTGTTTCTTTAAGCATTTGACTCATGGAAGGGTGTTATGTGAGAATGTCAACTTTCCTTAGAAAAAAGAGGGAACTTTTTAATCTTTATGGTTATAAAGTAAAGTTTGAAATCGTGATGTGAATGTTTTTGTTTTTAAGGACAAGATGCCTTAGGCTATTGAAAAGAGAAAGAAAGTTCTGAGTGTAAAAAGCATTTATGTTTTTGGTATCTGACTCATGACTTTTCAGTACTGGGATTGCACCTGATGTCACATTGTTTGAGCTCAAAATACTCAGAGGAGAATTAAAGAAGACACCAACATCCTGTGTATTATGCTGGCCAAATTTATTGTGTTAAAACTCTTAATTTTAAAAGTCTGTTGACAAAATAAATAAGACACCAGACAGGCTAACGTGGAGTCACTTTTAGATTATCAAATTACAGTCCATAATCTCTCTCTCCTAAAAACACTAAATTCCAGTTGCAAAGACTAATCACAATTAAGGACCACAGTATATGTGTATCTTCTTAGGATGAAAAGTAGAGAAGCTAAAATGTGGTGCAAAGACAGCAGGTTTACCACAACAGCAATAGTTTAGAGCAGCCTTGAGATGCAAAGTTGACTCTAAAGCAGAGGTGCCCTGAGACTTGTGTGCTACACAAGCTCAGACAGAAAAAAAACTTCAATTCTTCAGCAATGGATTCAGCATCCTGTTGTACTTTCCCTCCTGCTTTGCTCTTGACATCTACAGTTCAGCTTAACAGATTCCGATGACAACAAGAATCTATGGTCTCTGCCAGGCTGAGTCACACAGCAGTTAATTTACCAAGGCCTTTCTAACAATGGCAAAACAGTCTCCCAACATTTTAAAGGGGTAAAAAGAAACAAGCAAGTGACCTTTTCTCCTTGCACTGGCAATTTAAATTCAAGAGCTAGACTCATCCTTGTGTGCTAGAACTGCCTGTGGAACAAAAATATACTTAGAATGAACATGGTCTGGATTTGGGGAGATTTCTCAGAAGAGGAGGTAACAGAGGCAAGTGTTGGACTGTTACTCCATAAACCTTTAGGTGTTTTTCAAAATGGACATGGACATCACCACACAGAGTAAAATTTGAAAATCTATTGTTAAAAAGCACCTTAAAACCATTTGCTTACTACTCTAAGCTACAGTTAGATTCAAAAGATAATGCATATCAAAAACTACTGGGCTGTGGACCATGATCTATTTGCTATTTAGAGGTTGGTAACAGAAATGAAAAGAAATCACTATTGTGCAGGAGCCCTAGTGTTTTATTAGTAACCCATCTGGTGTCTAAAACTAATCTCTGGCACAGAGATGGCAAATGTCACCTGAGTTAATACCCACTGACGTTATCAGAACTTTCCAGTACTAACAGCCTATTAGCAGATCTTTTTAAAGTAAATTGACCTGGGTTCTATCTTATTTGTTTCTAATGGAAGTAGGATCCATGGCACATTTTATGGGGCTCCTTCCATAAATCTATTTTTGGTTCAGGGTGGGTTTAACAAAAAAATATTGTCTCTACTCCTTAGAGCTGCTGTGTTACTGTGTTGTACAAGCATACACACCTCACAAAAGTTTCCATACTATTGTTTCAAGCTGTAGTTGTGCTGTCACATGATTGAATTTTCCATGAATCTTCAAATGCAAAGTTTTTCTAAAAGGCACAAGTCCTGCAGGGGAGCTGCAGGCAGAAGTCCAGTCACAAAGCTACAGACATCCTGTCCAGCATGAAGTGAAAACCCACAGATTTTCAAGTGTGATACCTGAGCTCAGAGTACCACAATAAAAAAAGCAATAGTGCTGCATTGCTATTTTTGTGTGGTCTAGGCAAGTCATTTCTGCACCAGTTCTAAGGCAGATTTATTGCAGTAACCTGTTCAGAATATTAGAGAGGAAATTAGGGAATGAACAGATTCTTTTGTGTAGAAAAAACCCAATCAGCTAAAGTGGTGTTTGTGAAGTTTGGTCATACAGGAGGCCCTGATGTCAGCAACAGCCCCATACCATGTGGGCCTAGACACTGATGTACAGGAAACAGGACTGCAGCTGTTGAGACAAGAAAATTCTTGTCAGAGCTTGCATTTCTGATTTGACATCTGGGAGGAATCTGCCTCTGGCTGCAGGGTGAGGTGCAGAGATCAAGGCACAAAGACAGGCATCTTGTTAATTTGCAGTGATCCACTGGAAGCTGGCATGAGGGATGGCATCTTCAATCCCTTCCTGAGCATTTACTAAATGAGAAGGATTATTTTAATGTTTTAAGATTTTCTACCCCATGCTGTACTTCATTTAAATGGTTTGCTAAACTACAAATATTTCTTTACAAACAACTAAAATACTTCTGCAAACTCATAATGATTAACTGTCTCTCTGAGATACTCACAAAAGCTTTCCTTATTACTGATTTTTTTTCTGTCTGTAACTTCCCAAGTGGAAATACAATTTGATTTCTTCAAGCATGCACTTGAATTTGAAAATTAAGCTGTTTGAAAACAAGGCTCCAAATTGAAGCAGTCTTTGCTTGAAGTTCCATCCTGAACAAGCTTAGAGAAGGATGGAACTAAGGGTGACAGTGCACAATTTCCTGGATCAAACCCACCATTTCAATAAATCTGTATGGTAAAAGCATTATCAACATCCAGAAGCCCATCAATTAATTTCACTGCGTGACATTGTCTTCTTCCTGCTTTTTTCTTCTCTTCTCCTTTTGATTTTTCCTGGAAAATTAACTGAAGGATGACTCACCCACTTCTGGAAGCACTAAAACTCACCTCTCCTACTACACTTGTTAGCAGCCTTAGTGCCCCACGGTCGTGGACAAGAGAGTCTGTGTAAAATGAGCCAAGGTATTTTCTTGGATCCACCTTATTATCCATGGCACACAAATCAGGGCGAACGTTGAATCCATGGGAGATTCGACCCACTGTGTATGGAAAAGCTCCACCTGCAAGAAGGAATTTTTAATAACTTATAATAAGCTGAAAATATGTAAGAGAGAAAAAAGCTACCATATCACCAAAGATTCATAAATTTTCCTGTCAGCTCTTTAGAAAGAAAGTGCTCTGCACCAGTGTTTTTTTATTCCTTTACCTTCATTAGCTTATTTTTCTATTTTTCTTGCTTCTTCGCTGCTGTGATGCCCAAATTCCTCCTGCTGCTTCCTTATCCCTTTCCTTAAACCACCTGCTGCCTCCCCTTCCTTTTTGTTTCCCTGAAAGGCTGTTGTACAGTTAAAGGCTGTTGTATCACTTCACACCCTGCAGGCTAGAGAGTGTTCATAAAAGCAGCTGATCTGTCAGACTGTCTTCTTTGGGGTGACAGTGCTCAGCTGGTGGCAGGCTTCACGTGGTGACCCCATTAGTTGAGATACCAGAAAATACAACTGTACTATGCTCAGCCAAAGAACAGGAGTTTCACATGGTACACTACTCACCTCCATGTGCAAAGCAAACTTTCAGCTTAGGGAATTTTTCAAAAATTCCTCCCATAATCATGGAGCAAATTGCCATGGTTGTTTCTGTTGGCATGCCTAAGAAGAGAAACATCTTAATTGTATAAGAGCTTTATGTTTTAAACTTCTTATTTGATTTTTACATGTTATTTTAGTTTTCTTCTATTAGCCTTGAGCCAACTGAAAAAGTAATAGTTGCAAGGCAGCTGCCAAAGGTCATGCATTATTTCTACTGGAGGGACACAGAGTTGGACTCAAATTAACTGAAATGAAGACTCAGGCCTGGAAGTGAAGATCTTCTGAATTCTAAGTCCAGTTTTTACTCCATACCACTAGAACAGATGATAGACAGGTTGGGTATGTCCTGAAATACCCAGTACAGGCCTGATTCCCATTATCCTTGCTCAAGGATAAGTCTGGAATATGCCAGGATGTCTTCTCACCACTGCTTGTGTGTTTCTTTTGTGTGGAAAGTGGAGCAGATTCATTGATGGATATTCCAACACACATTTGGGGTTTAGTTTTGACATGGTGCTAGACCCTACAGTTTAGAACTAACCTGTCTCTCATTTTGCTCCTGGCTGAGTTGGTTGCCCAGAGTTAGGAACAGAACAGGAATTTATACTCCTACAACAGGTGTCAGCTTCTGATCACACCCAACATATTTAGAATATCCTGCCATTTTTAAACATCCAACTTCAGACATCCAGCTGGAAATTAGGAATGGAGTTCCTCTAATCTATGGGGGAAGCAACACCTATCCAGCTCAAAGGGTTATGTTTCATTAATATTTACCATATGCTCAGATGCAAAGCCTTATTAGCCTTAGTAGGAAAATATTCTATTTACACTTTGTTAAGTAAATGCAATAATTTTATTTTCTTCTTAAATCTGTATTGTTGAGCCTGCTCTGATTAACAGTAACTGATATTGTTGTAAGATAATGCACTGGTGATTGGGAAAGCAAGATTTCCCAGGCAGAATGTGTATTATATGTACGTTGTGTATGTTTTTCAGAATTGGTGGCAGTGCAAAACCATGCAAAACAAACCAACACAGAACAAAATACATGAGGGTAGAATCAGGTCTAAACATTTCTAGGTAGCAGAAAAGCCCTGCTCCTGTTGTTCAATGTTATGATTTACCTATCAAACAGGATAAAAATGGAGACTAGATAATATCCTACACCTACTGAGAGCTTTCAAAGTACATGTTGTTTCAGCTATAGCTGATGTAAAGTCAGATTTATTTCGTCTCTGATCAACCTGTTTCTAACAAATAACTCAAGAAATTCTAGGAAGTAATGTTTGGTTTTGCTTATGCCTTCATTTACTCCTGTTATTTTTGAGGAGCTCATTTCTGAGATTATTCATTTCTTCCTTGTTATCTACTCTTTGTATCTAGGGCAAAAGAGAATACTATATTCTGCTGCTAGTCTGAATAATTTTAATTCTAAACATTTTAAAGAAAAACTAGACAAGCTTAGAAACAAATGCTGCTGAGTTTACACACCAGACTTAATCATAATACTAGATTAAAAAAAAAGAAAGTTTGACAGAAAAGCAATGTAATTTTCTCTGTACTTGTACCTTACTTGGCAACAATCTCCTGGGCATAATCCAGTTCATAAATGCAGGTTAAGCAAAGTAAATATACACTTACCTATTAGCCAGGGAAACCAATATTTGGACATCCTCCCATCTATCTGCATGTCCCAGGGATGCACAAAGAGACAGCAATTTAATTTCTCAGCAGCCTGCAGCAAAAGGAAAAAGTCTAAATCTTGACTAATTGTAACAAAATGCATCTTAGATTCTAGTCATGCTTTTCAATGACCTGCAAATCTACTAAGCAGTAACACTAGTAATGAAAGTAGGAGAATACAAGTGAGAACTATAAGCAATAGTTGGCTATATTTATTCTTCTGGGCCATATTCTGTAGCCCTCACTCAGTTTCACAGCTCCTCCTGTGACTACAGGACTGGAAGCATAGGTGATAATATCTCTTCAGTGATCCAAGTGCTTCTCAGAACAATGCAATATAAAAGTGCTTTTCCAGCTATGTTTTTCAGCCATGCTGTAGTATAAAACTCAGTTCAAGCAAACATTGTTTAGGTTTCGTTACACGTATGAGAATGAATTCCCATAATGTTTTATAGAATCATTTGAGGATGGTTTTGCAGAGTTGTTCCAGCTGCATTCAGAAATTTTTACTGAGTTGCACTACATTTGTCCCCTTTGGCCTTCTGCCTGGCTTAAAAAAAATATATAAATATTCTTACTCCTTCCAAAGAGTTCAAAATCTGGCTGTATTCTGATCAATAATCCATCTCTATGCAAGTATGGTAATTTTTCCAAAACTACTGACATCTTTGGAAAGGAAAACAGAAGACTAGTAATTTAACTGTGTAATTTAACTGTGTGCTTAAATTTAAATACATAGTCATCAGAGTCATTCATATGCTTAACCAGGATTTAACAGCTTCGTTTTGTCAGATGTATTTCTGGACATGCTCTTGTTGCCAAGGAGATTATCACACATTCAAAAAATTTGGGTTTATTTACCCATACATGCATAAATAAAAGCTGCAACTTTTGGATCGTGGAGAATAATTGCCATCTACATTTGTAAACTAAAAACAGCAATTCAATAACTGGCCTGGTAGTTTGGCAAAGTTCATTATCCAATATGGCTTAATTTCATAATCTGTCTTATCCAGAGATGTTTCTAAAAATGAAAGGGGTTACTTCCTACATGTGTGAAACATAAGCTGAAGGATGTACAGTATAAGAGAGATCCCAGAACTCTCTGGGATAGAGTAGTAGCAGAGGATCTCAGGAGCAGAGAGACATGGAGTTACTGGAGAGAGTTCCAAGATGATGAAGGGACTGAGCATCTCTCCTGTGGGGAAATGCTGAGAGAACTGGGACTGTTTGGCCCCTAGAAGAGAAGGCTCAGTGGACATCAGGAAACATCAGGTTGCCCAGAGGGATTGTGGAGTTTCCATCCTTGGAGATATTTAAAAACCATGGGAATAGTCCTGGGATCTGGCTGTAGGTGGCTCTGCTGGAGCAGGGTGTTGGTCCAGGTGGCTCCCAGAGGCCCCTCCCAACCGCAGCCACGCTGTGATTCCATAAATGTGGGCATCTCCCAGCAGATTCTGTTACCTGACTCTATATGGCTATGAAAACAAACAGTCCAGGGGCTGCACCAACAGAGCTTTTGAATAAATTGAGCATCCTGCAAAATGACCTCTGTGAATCAATTCCAAGCTGACAACTTTAATAACTTGAGAAAGAGATTCAGAACGGATATTGATTAAACCCCTAATTTAGACAAATGACCACCCTTATCTGCACCTCAGGCTGTTTAAGAAACGTTATCTATTAATTCATTTGATAATAATTTCATTCAGTTTGGAAATTTTGTTTACATAGTTCTGTGTGGTACCTTGATGCTATAGGTATCTCTATAAAAATCTTAGGGAGTTTTATCAATTTTTTCAATAGGGTTGGATACAGTAACTTGAACTCAAATGCAAATAGTGCAGAAATGTTTTCTTTGATACTGCACTTATCCTCACAGATTAAGAAGGCAGATGTACAGCGAGAACTTGTATAATAAAATTAAATTTGTTATTCATTATTATAAAATATGTTTCAGAATATGTTGTATTATTGCCATTACATCCTATAAAGAATTATCATTTACAATTAAAGCTGAGTCTCTCTGATCACTAAGCAGATTAGAAGGCTCAAATGATGACTGAATGTTCTCCAAGATATTTTTAGACAGATTTCCATACCACAGTATTCCCCCAAAGAAGGAAAGCAGCAGCTACTCACAGCATAAATATCGTACAGCTCTGGGGCATTCAGGTCCCACTCGTTGACATGAGATCCTATCTGCACTCCAGGAAACCCAAGTTCATTCACACAGCGATGCATTTCCTTCACAGCCAGCTCTGGAGCTTGCAGAGGTAACGTGCCCAGCCCAACAAACCTCTTGGGGTACTTTTTTACTGTAGCAGCTAAGTCATTGTTTAATATCTGGGCGAGATCTAAAGTGTCCTGAGGTTTGGCCTGGTAAGATATGAAGCAGAACAGTATATTTAAATATAATTCTCAAATGTTATCACCTTTGGAAGTTACTGGATAAATGTCATTGCAAACAACTGATAGTGTTTGAACCCAAATTTGCTTTACAGTTCTGGAAAAGAGTAGGGCGAAATTCTGCCTTCTTTAAAACCTCTGGGTGCAGTTCTGCTTTTTCTCTTGAAAATTGATCAACTGTTGTTGCCTTTGCTGCTCAGGATGAGTGTCATAAATCCCAGGTTGCTGATGCATGTAAGTACCTGGTCTTTTCTGTAAAGCAGTCCCCTGGTTTTGTTTATTCTGATGCAAAAACCTCAGTATATAAATTTATACATAGCAATGAATATTTACTCTCCTATTACTGCAGCTGAAGAAATAAAAATAAGAAATATGAGATGCTGGAGCACATGAATTCTACAGAGAAAGTTGAGTAAACTTCTCTAACATTTAGAAGGAGATAACATCCATAATTCTAATAAGGAAATGCAATATCCATGCAATCAATCTGCTTTTTTTCTCTCAATACATATTTAATGGAAAATATTCCCTTAGATACCAGAATAAAATTTTGAAGAGATGTTACTAACGAGAAATTGTGAATATCAATGGTATTTCTTATATGTGGGCTTAACACAATGGTTCTTAATGCACAAATCCATTTACATATAAACATCTTGACCTGTACACATTGCTAAGTAGCCACATTCAGAATGTATTTACAGCAGCATTGTGCTGTGATTTATCTCCTCAGCCTGCCTTTATTTCTTTGAAGCATTCAAGATCACCACGTGGGGAACACAGGAACTTAAATTTGCTCCTGAATTTTAAGATTCAAAGCATTCTAGGTTAATGAGTCCCATGCCACATTGAAAAGGAAGTGGGACAAAGCCACAAATACATCCTTTTTTTTTTCCCTGAGAAAATAGTGACTGATATCTAGCTTTCATAGAATGTGTACATATATGTCTGCCTGCTAACCATGGATTCATGCTGGATATATTTTTTCTCTCCGTTTCCAGATGCCTCCATGAGGTCCCCAGAAGAAATTCAGTTGTTTCATCTTTTCTCACGGTGTGTGCTCCTGTGTGGAGCTGCCAGGACATCGTGCAGACACCTTCTCATGCCTGCACTCCTTTTTTGCCTTTTTGTTTTCACAGCAGAACAATTCTACCGACTATTTCAGTTTGTAGGAAGATGCTTTTGTATTTTAAAAATGTTGCTACATATGAGTTACAAAATATGTTAGTTGGAACCTACCCAGTAGCTGAACATTACAGGAACTGTGGACAAGACTTGGACGGTGACTCCTGAGTAAGAAAAAGCAAATATTAATGCTTCCTTTTTTGCTGTCTGTATTTGATAAAATGTTACAAATAAGAAAGTTCTTTGGTTTGAGAGGCAGAATGTAAAAGATTTAATTATAAGAAAGACTAATTTAGCAGTAACATAGAGATTTTTTTTTTAAATTAAGGATCATGGCAATAAACCTTATAGTGTATCAGCTTATTAGGATTTGGATATTTTTGCTAAGTAGAAAGATAGATAGATAATTTGTGAAATTAGGTTTTTTGATTTTAGAAGTATTTGGTATGCACATGTACAAACAATTAAAAGCAATTTAGTATTACTCTCCCATGAATGAAACTGACATTAAACCAACAGAATACAGTAACTCAAGTTTACTTTGGGGTTAATTTGTCATATATATAAAATAAATAAATGAATTAGCCCAAAGAGAAATAACATTATGTTAACAATGGTTGTTAAACAATGGTTTCCTAAGTGTTTCTAAAGCTGCTTTGTGTTAGGTTTCATTCATCTTGTGTCTGGACTACTGAGGTTGTAAATATAAAATATCTGCCTGTTTTCAGAAATAACTTTGATGTGTTAAAAATAAAAAGAATTAAGTCCATGTTGTTTTGTTTCTGCTCAAACACAAATCTATTTCATAACATTGTGTGTGACAGGTTACAGGAGTGAAAACAACAAACCTGGCAGACAAACAAAACAAACAATAAACAGTAATTAGGAATGCACAAAATAGCTACAAGCAAAACTGTTTTGTTGTTTGTTTGTTTGTTTGTTTGTTTGTTTGTTAGGTCTGTTTGTAATATTTTTGTGCATATCTTGTCATGCTTTAAAAAATTTAACTTGGTTGTTAGTAATAAAACTACTAGAACAAAAGATGGCAGAAAAAAACTCCAGGAGAATGAACTCTAGGAGAACTCAAAGACAATGACTTGCCAAAACATTTGAATGATTAAAATGATTTCTCCTCCTCCTCAGAAGTGTAAGAAGGAAACAAGAGGAGAAGCTGACTCAGATGACAAGAACTGATTAATATTATGTACAGCAGCAGTGCTTTAAGGGTAAGGATTAGGTCTGCAGAATTACATAAATACTGAATTATCCAAGTTGGATCATCCACCAATATGGATACCTGATTAGTCTGTTCAGAACATTCTCCATGTTTTCCACAATAATCATTGTATCTGCTTTCAATCCATTTTTACATTTCTGAGCAACTTTAACACAAACCTTAAAGGTACATTTCCAAGCTGACTGTTGCTAGACATTAGCTTCAGGAAGAAGAATCAGGACGGAAAAACCTCTATTTTTTTACACTCTTCAGAGGGTTTTAAAAAGGAGAAAATAACAAGGAAAGGCAGTTAGGATGAACTGATATGTTTTCTCAAACAAAATTGTGATGATTTGTGTCACAGAACTGTGATGTTAATTACTTTTACAGCTTGTTTTATTGAGTTACATGGATAGCTTGTTTTATTGAGTGGATCAAGACAGAAGTATGTACATCAATTAAACCTAGGACATATGATTAGGAGAACTAATTGAGTCTCTTTGGTCCACTGGAGACCATTTCTTATTACTGGCAAGATTTCTTGGGCATTGCACAAACAAAGCCTTTCAGCAGCCAAGCTCTAAGTTAACTCCCTGAGTTAAAAATACCTTTCAGTGACTGATTCTAGCTCTGTTCAGCTGGGACACTCCTTGCATCTTTGTCCCAAAATTATGCCATGTTTAGAGGTTAAATTTTTTAGTATAATCTATCTCAGCCTGTGTAAGAGAAAACAGTCTTTGAACTAAGTAGCTACAGCTTTCTAAACCAGAAAGGAATAAATATGGTCCATAGTCTTTATCTTCCACTGAGCAGTAAGGATGAAAGAATGAAAAACACCAAGGCCCATTTTTTCCCCCCCACATAATTAATTAGCTGATGCCTGTATATCTGAAGTGCTGTAATAAAAAGGGAAATTTTTAGGGCACAATTCACCAGATGGTGCTGTAACATACAGGTTTAGATTTTTTTTTTTTTTAACCAAGCAAGCACTGTTTAGTTCATGAAGAAACATTGTGATGCTGCTTTCATGACACATTTTCTTTTCTGGAGAGCTGCTGCAAAAATTTGAAGAAACCATCCTCCTGTGTTTTCCCTTTGTCTACAACAAATATATGGGGCAGAACTGTTTTGTAGAAACTTGCCATTAGTGCTGAGGGAAATATCTGAAAGAGAAAGATGCCCAAAGGCTATTTATGATCCACTCTGTAGTTGAGTGATTTGGTAATCCCCAAAATCCCTGAGCTAACTCAGAGAAACATTACAGTCTAGTCAAGGCATGATTCTATGATTCTGTGACAAGGCAGCATATTCCAGAGTTTGCAAAGGCTTTTTGGCATTCCCATTAAATGTCTAATGGTTGGAGTTTCAAATACTGCTTTTCCAGGGTGAAAATGAAGTAGATGAAAATGATCCAAATGATATTTACATAAATTGACCCCTAGCTGGTGAGTTCCTAAGTTTGCCTATGTTATGTATTGCACTAAACCTCCATAAGAAGAAAAACCCAGAGTATCTCCTAACACAGAATCACAGAATAATTTAGGTTGGAAAAGACCTCTAAGATCATTGATTCCAACCATTAATTCAGTGGTGGCCAAGCCCATCACTGAACCATGTCCCCAAGCACCTCATCTACACATCCTTTAAATCCCTCCAGGGATGGGACTCCACCAGGGCTGTCCTAGGGCTTGACAACACTTTTAGTGAAGTAATTTTTCCTATTATCCAATCGAAACATTCCCTGGCCATTTCTTCTCGTTTATTACTCCTTATCTTCGAGAAGAGATCAATTCCCCACTGGCTACAACCTCTTTCAGGTGTTTGTCGAGGGTGATAAGACCTGAGAGGAGGAAACAGTAATCATAAAGGTGCTACTTGTACAATATCTGCTCTTTTAAGCAATTCAGGTGTTTGTTCCTTATGAAAAGTTGAAAATATTCAAGTTGTGTCTACTGGGAAACTGATGTAGGAACTATTCAAGCCTCAATCTAAGAAAAAATAATGTTTAGTAACATAATATTTCTCTTACAGGAGTATTTTGGAATTACAGTGTTAATAAGAACTAGCAAAAAAAATTGACCAGCCTAGAAATTCCTTCCCTCATCCTCAGTCTCCCATCTTACCAGCCCTATTACTGACTTGCATGTAACATGACGGAAAATAAATTTGCAAATTTGGCATCTGGTTAAGTTGAGGAAAACTCCCTTTTCTGACAAAGTGTATCAATTCTCTGGGCTCAGAGTCCTCCAGAAGAAACACAGAATGAAGCTGCAACATGGCTAAACCGAAAAAAGGTATTAGAAAAGGAAAAAGACATACAAGAAATTGTATGTGTAAAAAGAATATTTTTAATATTTGGAACAAAAATGAAAATCCTTCATCCTCCTTTATGTGAATCACATTTTAACTGGAATGTATGGTGCCATTTCAAGTCCAGGGTCTGTCATCCTTATTTTGCCAATGAGTTCCTTAGTGCCTTAAATCCTACCAAAACTAACAAATTCTAGTGGGGAATAAATTGCTACTGAGAATGAGGAAAGCTATAGGCACAAGTTCCTTCTGAGTATAAAGCATATCAATTTCCAATTACTTTCAACAGATTTAAACCAAGGAATTATTATCGTAAACCTTGTTTTTGATATTGCAGTTGAGCACTTTCAGATGGACTGTCAGAGAAGTAAGTAGTCAATCGAAATGAAGCACAATGATTTGAATTCCTTCATGGAGGTACCTGACTGGTCCATCTCTTTAATCCGTACTTCTGGATCCCAGCAGTTCTCTTGAATAACTCTAAAAACCTTTCCATCCTTCATCATCTTTGCCTGTCCCTGTGAAATGACATTTTCATATATTATAAATGTGACAAAGTAGTACCTGCTAATTTATAGTCTCTTGAGTATATTGTGCTCCTTACAGAAATTCAGTGGCAAAATTTTGATATTTTTTTCTATTCAGTAGATATTTTTAAACAAAGACTATTTTTAAAGTAGACATGAATAAAACAGTCATTTATAGTTCAGATTTAATTCTTCAGAATAATAAAAAAAATCCCCTTCCTTTTGCAATATACATTCCTCTATATTTATTTGGAAAAGATAACAGGTACCTTAATTCAAATTTATCCTCAAACCAAATTTTGACCTCAAAACAATGCTCTAATTAAATCTGAGCTAAATTTTCCCTTTGGGTATCTATGTATTCTTTTAAAGTCAATAGCATCACAGTGATTCCAGTAACTACAGGAATAATTGTGCAACAGTTAATTTCAGTCCAGTAGTTTCTTATCACCAGTGAAACTGAGACAAAAGGAGACCTATTGTGTTGTCTTCAGATTACGTTTTCTCCTTGGGAAGAAAAAAAAAATTGAAGAATTTGGGAAAAAAACTTCCCAAACAAAACTTATACACACTATAAATCCATGACCTGAATTAGTGTAAAACCTTCCTCATATGCCACCAATTTCCAGATTTAGGAAGTTCAAGATGTTATCACAGTCATGAAATTTAATACTGTTCCTTTATCAGCATGGACACTTTTAAAACTTCATATTTGTTTGATGTGTGAATTGCTCAAAGAGAGGCACAGTGTCACCACATTAAGCAAATTGTCTGTTACAATTAGGGGTACCCAGCAGCTGCTACAGACACAACAGGATTTCTGTGGGCACAAATGGATGAGATACAATTCACCAACACCTGCAAGCCCTAAGTATTTCTTGGTTATTTTAATCTACTGTGGGGGTAGCTGGAAAGTCCGAAGATCCCTGCTCTGCTCGTGGGGTGGGTAAGTGCAGTCGTGCAGCAGAGGCACTGGGCAGAGAACACACTCCATCTGCAGGTGGAAACTGAAACCCACACAAGAAAACACAGCAACCACTCCTTCAGCTTCCCAGCACACAGGAGCTGAGGGCAAGGCAGGCTTCAGGCCCTTCGAGAAAGGGATTTCTCTCTCTCTCTCCAAAAGCCACTTTATTTTTCCTCATAAAATTGGTCTTATTTAGTATCCTGTCATTTTTTCTAAAGAAAAGAACTTGTTAAATCAGAATATTTATTACTAGTGTGCTCAACCAGGAGGGGTGCTGTCCCCTTCTTCTGAGAACTCAAACTGTTCTTAACCTTGAATTTGTTATTAACTTCATATATCATTCACAAACATACTGTCCTAATGAATATTTTAAAGCCCTCCTCAACAAATCTAAGTATGCTGCCTTGGCAACCTGTCAAGTTACTTGTTAGCTGTATCACAGGTTGTGAAAATTACCTGAAATATTACAACTACACGGTCCTGATCCCCTGGTGAAATACTTCAAGCTCCTGTAAAACTGATTTTCCAACCTCATGGAGAGGTTTACTGTAGCCATGCACTCAAATACATTAAGAAAAGTCTAATGCATTGATGCAGATTATCCAATAAACAAAAAATATTTGGGGTGTGAGAAAAAGGCAGAGCAGAACTGAGCACTTCATCACATATTAATAGATTATATGGCCTTTACTGTTCCATTCTATTTTATACTTCTCTATCCCATCCTAAAAATTATCTAATATTTAACGTTTTAATTAACATCTGTGGAAATTAAAAGGGAGACATTTAAAAATTAAATCCTGCAGGCGGATTTGGTTCAGCAAACCACATTTAAAATTCTCCCATCACTAAACTACTCAGTCACATCCCAAATTGCACTTTCAAAATATGCACGTAATTATTTTCTTCCAGTTTGACCCTGGTACTTCTTCAGAGAATTCTATGGGAAATCTTTGGGGTCTTTTTTTAATCTTAGGAGTTAACATCCCCAGCTCCACATGTCTGAACAGGATTTTATTTTGCCACGCACTTTTTGTCATGCAAAATTTCCAGCCGGAAGTAGGCCAGATAGAATTCTTGGCAGATCATGTAAGGCCATTATTGACTTGCCACAGAGCTCCTCTGGAAACTATTTTTAGCACAGAATTTTAGCTTCAGACCTGTAGCAAAATCACCAGAAATGTGTCCAGTCCTTGTCTCCTTCCTGCAGCTGCCAGGTATCCCAAAAGCTTTGGTTCCACAGGTGGCTTTTGTTTATTAAAATATCAGTTCTTTTCGGGTTTGCTTCTCATACAGATGACTGCATTTAACTCAACCCAAAGCTATGTGTAATCTGCTTTAGCCTGACCTCTCTTGTTGAAAAGACTTTCTCAGAGCTATCCATTCCAAGTGCTAAAATGAGATGGTAAAGAAGAATGGATGCTGGTCCCTACAAGAGAGTGTGAGTTTCACCTTTCAGACAAAAGGTTCTGCTGAGGTATATTAGGACTTGGCCTGATACTACTTCATAGGAAATAGACTTCTAGAGAAATCTGTACCAAAGACACAGTCAATCTTATTGCTACTTTGGTACAGATTTCTCTAGAGGTCTATTCTTATTGCTACTTTGCTTCTTAATAGATCTACTCGGAGTTTCTGATGGTGACACAAGATCTGCTATGAGCCCCAAACAGCCCAAACCTTGCAGTGATGATCCAGCTGTACCCATCCACCATATCCATATCTCTGTGGAGGAAAGAAGAGAAAGCCAGTGCTAGTTAGCTCTCTGCAGTAATAATAATAATAAAATAAAAATAAAAGAATAATAATAGTAATAATAATAGCAATTGCAGTTCTTACAAAAATACCTCATTCAGGAGAAACACATACACATGCTCAGCTTAGAGCCAGAGTAGCCTCACTGACTTCAGCAGAAGTGCTGAAGTGGAGCTGGACTGGACTAATGGTGTTAGTAGAGCTAAATTTTAGTTTCCAGTTCAATAACATTTTTAAACAACTGCTTTAAAAATGCTTAAAGTTGCTTACTACACTGAGGTTATAACTGAAATAATTTTCATACAGAAAATATTAAATTAAGCATCTGGCAGTGTGAAAATTGAGCTGACAACTTTCCAATCTGTGATCAGTTAATCATTAGCACAAAGATGCATTGATTCCACTCTTCAGCTTCCATGATTCAGCAGCAGGAGTGAAGGTCAGCCTCTTGTCTATTAATATTTAAACAGGGAAGAGAAGCTAGAAAGGAGAAGCTTAGATGCTCATTGATTCTTCCGGAGAGATTCAGATTTGTTCATGCAAAAAACGCAAAACCTACATAAGGTGCTGATTTCCTTTTACTTTCATAAAATATCAATTAGAGTGGAATGAACTCTTGAAATCTCTGAGTGAAAACAATGCTCAGAATTCCCATTTCTCCAAAAAAGAAACATTTAAAATGAAACTAAGAGCAGGCATTTGTTTCACTGAAGTGTAAATGATTTGGACACAGTCCTGAATTTCCTGTGATACCACCAGTACTTAATGTCACTGTGAGCTTTCCTAATGGGGCTGTGAAGAGCCAAATCTCCTGACCTCAGCCAGAGATGCAGTCACTGAGGCTGTGTGCTATGTGTAATTATGCAACTATGTAAATTTTATTTAAATTTATACATTTATAGCTTTATATACATACAAAATACTGAAATTTTGGGTAAGATTAATGAGTGACAACTAATGAGAACTTTAAGCGAGATCCATGCTAATTGCAATTGTAAGCTGAGCAGAAAACAAGTACCTGAAATGGATACTGAAGGAGCCCACAGGCAACAGAGAAACTCACTGGTCTGATTTTGAACTTATTATCAACTTATTTTATTCTTTCTTCCCCTCAGCTCTTAGTTGTAGGTATTGACAGTCCATATCTGCTTTTTCTGTCATTTTCTATACTTGTGATATTTTCCTAGGCTGTTAAATCAGTATTTTGACAATAGAATTTTCTTAGTTTGAAGGTCCAGTATTTACAAAGCTGGAAACAAGAAAGAGAAGTTTAGCACTAATTAAAGCTGTGCATGTTCAGATGCCTTATTGGTTTTCCTTGCATGAAATGGAGAGATCTGTGTTAATGGCTTGAATTTCCAGAGGACTCCAGGGAATTCCCAGCGTTGTTTTCTACTCTGAGCCCATTAATAAACCATTGATTCGCTCAGAACAGAGGAAAAAAACTTAGCAGGTGGAAATTAAATTTTAAAAATTTGGTATTTGCCTCTTTATCTCTGTTTAATAAATGCAGTGCTGGCCCACAGTGTTTAACATTAGGGAATTTAGTCTTGATGTACATCTCTGAACATCAAGGAATTCTTGGGGTCATTTTATCTCCGTGAATTTACTGCCCTTTTAAAGTATTTACAGACAAAACATTTAGTTAAAAAAAAACAAACCACCCATTTAACATCAGAATGAAGGTATTCTATAAGCGTTTTTATGAAGTTATTGCACAAAGACAACAAAATCTGAAAGCAAAAAGTAATCTGTCTTTGCAGTCTGGATATTTAAACTCCTATCCATTTAAGACAGGCATAATTATTCTAAAAATATCTGTATCCTCACCTACATTATCCAGTAGATGTGGTTTTCATCAGGAGCTGTTATTATTATAAATAGGAGGTTCAAACAGATATTTATAAAATCCTTTCAAGCTCAACAAGGAAATAAACATTCCTTTCCAGGAGGTATTGTGCATAATGATGTCATTTTTCACAATTAATGAAGAAATAATGCTATATATGTTTTTAATGCCAGGTTTTCTCATGACTTTTTTTCCTATTATGCTGTTTACATTTCCAAGCTGCTCTCTCTCTAATATTGACTGAAACTGGACTGCTTAAAATCACAGAAATGCAGAGCTAATAGATAAGATACCCTTTCAGATTGATTACATTAAATCCTAAGTGACATTTTTCATTCTAAAATACTTTTCACAGGATCATGAAAAATATTGTGAACAAAAAAAAATTATGTTACTGAATGACAACAACAACAGCAATAACAACAACAACAATAATAAGTTAACAGAAATTCACTTATAGCTTCAGTGTTCTGACAACTGAGATTTTGTATTTTAAATACAATACTACTTCTTTCCAGTAACTGAAAAAATAACAGATATTAGAAAAATTATCATCATCAATTAGCTGTTCTTAGAGTGACCCCACTCCCATTGAAGTTAATGATTTCATGCCTGTGGATATAATGATGTGAATGAATTTGTCTTAGTTAACATTAATTTTGTCTAATATTTGATTATTTATTTTATTTAAAACAGAAGTGAATACCATTTAGGAGTGGAACAGAGCAGCTCTATTTTTATCAAGAAAGTGGAATTTATATTATCATCTAAAAATTTTGTGTCTCAAAAAACTCAAGGAAAACTTTATGGATTGCTTCAGAATAAATATAAAGTGGGGAAGAGAGCCCAGTTTTACATCTCCTTCTGACTGGACTCTTGCTTTTCAAAGCAATACAAATATTTTACAGTTGGAAAAGAATCCCAAATTAGACAAAAACCTAGAGGTATTTACCACAGAACCCTTCACTCATTTTTCTTTTAAAGACCACATTGATAGAAATGGTTGCTGATAACATAAGGCACTGAATATCTAAACTTTCATTACCTTTTTTAGGTCAGGCCATTCCTTAGGTAGAATGTGGCTATGAATATCAATTTTCATTTTTGAAGAGGAGAAATACTCCTTCAGTGCTAATGTTTTCTGTGTCAGTGCTGCTATCCCTCCTGTCCCTGGGTCACAGGTTGTTCACTTTGGCTGCTCTCCAGATCCACCTGCTGTCCTATCAGGAGAACCAGGTACAGTGGCCAACCAGGGAGCCTAATTCCAGAGGAGTGGCTCTCCAAAAGAACAACCTCGAGCAGAAAGTCCCTGTTAATGCATAAACTGCAGCTGACTGAGGGCAAAGGAAAAATACTTGTTTATATTGGCACTATGAAGGGATTTCTTTTACACGGAATCTAAAATGTCGAAAATAATTCAATAAAATCGAGTTAGAATAAATGTATTAAGCATGCTAACTTGAATTTCCTCCTTTCTCCCTCTTAGGTTGTGAAATAATTTGTAGAAGGCATATAATATATCCTTGGCAGAGTCACACATCCTCATCTATTCTCATTTTTTCTCTTGCAGTTTCTTTGAAGTTATATTAAACCCCCTCCAAAATATTGAATTTTAGCCAAATCTATGCTCTGCATTTTATATTCTCCCTCCTCATCATTGGTTCACTCAGGATATTTACACAAGCTACTGCATAATGGTGTTTACAGCCTCTCAAGTTGCCTCAATTATACAGTAATACATAGATGTATTTCAAATATAACAACTTCTGCAGCCTAAGTTAAGCTTAACTGGAGCTATTTCAGATTTCCTGTGAAATTGCATCTCATCTTTTGCCCTTTACTCAATTTAGAATTACACTTTGCTTAAGATACCCTTGCTCTTTATTTGTGCTGTATTTTTGTCTGTAATTTATTCCCTCTGTAGTTTTATTTCAGTATATGTTACTCACACAACGTCCTCTTGTGAGTGTTTGTTAACCATTCCCTGATTGGGTTTTTTAGTGAAAAATGCTGATTTTTTTTCCCAAACCCAAATGTTGTTGTGAATCTTGCAAACTGAAATCAAGGATCTTGAAAAATAAGTGGCCCATTCTGTTTTATCCTTTTTCTGACCTCCCTATTTTATTTGGACTTGAAAAAAAAGAACCCCAGACTCTTATATTTCTCTACTTGTTCACTCATTAAGCAAGTTTGCTTTGGATTTGGTCAGATAACTTTCTTAGGAGTTATTTTTCATGTCAGCTTCTTGTGACAGGGTTGGTTGGTTGATCTCGTACTTCTCTGCAGCAAGAGGTCACTGAAGACTGAGTGCTCCAAAGAAATGGGAAGCAGCAGTTTTGGGAAAGTATTCCCTAAATAAAGCAAGACAGCCAACAGTTTACTTTAACAGATCAAAACTCTGGGATTGAAAATGGCAATTATTTCCATCTCAAAACCAAAATCAATCTCTTCATGACCAGGCTGCCAGGTTAAGCAGTAAATTTACTCTCCTGCTCCCAGATGTGACAGCCATGCTGTGTGATGTGGCACTGCAGTGTCAGCCTGTTGACAGCAGTGTTTCTGCATGGACTACAGCTGACAGAAGAAAGAAGGATTGATTCAGCTCTGGGAGATCTGCATCATGAGTGCACAGATGGGAGGCAAACAAAGTGAGTCCTCCAATGAAGAGATGTATAGAAGACAATTCCTTAAGCATAGAAAGCAGAGTGAAGTGAGGGAGAGGGGCAGGGAGATTTGTCCACCTGAGTAGTCTAAGACACCAAGAGTCTTCAGTCACCAAAGCTGCAGGATTCCATGCAGAGCTCAGCTAGATTTCTTTAACACTGAGCTTAATTTTCCTCAGCTCTAAAAAAAGCCGTGGTTGTTAGTTACTGCTCCCAAGACACAGCTTAGCTTGCAAACACTGTAGTACTCCCACACTGCATTTCATTTGACAAAACACATCATTTGGAAACCACACCAGATGAAGGCAAAGTGTGTATCCATGTCACTTGATTAAAGGGCAGTGAGACATCTGTCTACATCCAACACGATCCATTGGGTCAGCAGCAGAAAGACCCTCACTGGCTAGGAACAAAAAGCTCTTCAGATACCCAGGCACCCAATGTACTCTAAACCGGAAAACATGACTAACAGCTCCTTCAAGGACAATTTAGCTATAAACTATTCAGCCAAGGCTGTTTTCAGATACACACACACAAACCTAGCAGATCTATAGGGTTTTATTTCACTGTAGGGACAAGTACTAAAGTGAAAATGGTGTTAATTGTAGGGCATTAAGTGCTCTTTTCCAAAGCTATTTAGCTGCTTTTCTGAAACAAGTGCAGAATCTGAGATTTGGAGTCTTCAGTATTGAAATTCAGTGTTGTGTTCTGGCCTTTGCTTATCAGGGTTAAAAGTGCTTCCTTGTATCAGTGGGAAAACCCTGACATCTTCGAAAAAGGCTGCATCACCAAACACTTGTAAGCTCTGCAGAAAGCTCTGCTTTCTATGCTGCAAGAAATGCTTCCACATCCATTCTTCCAAGGCAGCCCATTTTCAATTAGGCTGAACAAAGACACAAAGAGGCAAATTCAGGATGCTGATCTTAGAAAGGACTAAAGTATCCGTGCCAGTTTTTGTACCTTCCATTTTGCATGTTCCTCTCTGGCACGTGTTCTTGGAAGTGCACATTTGATTGTGCAAATGGGCTGTTTTACACATATGCACAGCTACAGAAAAACAAGTGGAAAACTCTTTGTGCTTAGTAGCTAAGATGAAGTACTTAAAGAATAGGTTCTTTTCCAAATGAAATAAATGTTGAGCAGCACACTTATATTGGTTGCTTAGCAACAGGTTATCCTTTGGCTGTGCTGGGGACTGCATGGGTCCTTTGAGACTGCCATTACAGACCTGCTTGGAAATGTCAGATTTGGAAAGGATGCAAAAGTCAGTAATTCTATTTTTTTTCCTATGGTATCAAATAATTAAACCTCTCCTATTAAATTAGTGTGATCACAGAACTTAAACCTCTTCTGGGACTCTAAAGAACACAGACTTCAGTGGGAGTGGCGTGGTCTGAGTTCTGCAGGGAATAGCAGCCATGGTTATGGTTTCCCTTCTAATGAGGAATAACATTAAGCAGTTCCCATGCAGCACTTCCCATGTGCAGCTCCCAAGTGCTATTTTTCACAGGAAAAATAGCAGAGCTACACCAGGAGGACACATCCAGCTACAGCTACACCAGTGAAGTCCTTAACCAAGATGTCTCCCAGAGAATGGGTGGTATTATGGTTCCCTGTTCTCCAACCAATAAACAAAACACTCCAGTGCGACTACCTGAGCTCCTGGTGGCTCACACAGCCAGCTGGACTGCAATGCCAGGGTTTCCTTTGTACACATTTGCAGAATGCAGCTGAAAAGGCACATAAATCTCCAATCTACTGCCAGCTAAACCAGCTCAAGATGGCAGCAGTGCAGGTGTACTCATTACTAAATGCTAAAGAGCAGTAGATTTTTTACTTTGTTATTAAAAAGCTTTTTGCAGAAACAAACAACTGTGAGAGCCTCTGTTTAGACAGACATCAGAGCTGCTGCTGCTCTGTATCCTGAGTCCATTTAGCCTTGCAGAGAAGTTGGGCTTTTTATCTCAGGTGTGATGCTGAACTGCTGCCTCTCTAATGCTCCCAAGATATCAGCTATGAACTCTGCATAGTGAAGCTTCACGGTTGCATAAGCTCAGGGAGATGCTCCCCAGGTGGGCTCTCTATCACACCTGCCAAAGTCTTTTTTGTGCCACTAAAATTTGTAGTGCAGAGATGTCCAAGGCTGCTGATGCCTTTGGCAGCCCTGCACTGCTCTGTGACCACCATCCTATCAGAGTTCTGATGAATCACATAGTGGTGAAAGCAAACAATGTCCTCTGCCAAATTCGTGACCATTACCGTGTTCTCTGCTGCCTAAGTGAAGCCATTAAAAAATCCTTATTTCTAGAAAATATTACATTGATGAAATTCAACTGCCATTCTAAAAGAATAAAAGAAAATTATATGGCTAACCTTCAAATAACATAATTATTTTCCTAATACACTACAACTGCAGTTCTGCAATTTACACTTACCATGCATTTATCTTGCATAAAAATCTACTTCTAAACACTTCTAAAAGTGTTAATTAAATAGATATTTTCTAAAATGCCAGTATGAGAAAAATAGAACTTTATTTTTCTCCCCCATGTGCACACTCAAGCAAAAAATAAAAACTCTATTTAAGCATGTACCAGGCCAAGGGTCACTCCTGTGCAGTGGGAACAACCACACAAATACCAGCAGCATAAATGTGGGCCAGAAAGAACAGATGGAATGAAGCTTACAGATACCAAAAATGCATAATTTTGAAGTTAATACCTCATGGTAACATCTGAAATAGTTTCAATTATTTAGAAGGCTGGTGCCTAAAACAAATTAATAGTAACTCCTGCCATATGTTGTCTCAACAACTTTTTTTCATGGGTGCTACATAGTCAAATCCTCATTTTCCCTCTTTGCCTCTCTGTGCCACTCTTTGGGCACATCTGAATTTTAGGGACAAGGACAGTCTTCTCATAGCTTTCACTGCTTCAGAGAGGAATTGAGTGCCAAAGCAAAGACGTCTCCAGCTCTGCAGATGTTTGTGGTGTAAATGTTTAGGGTTTTGTGCTGCAGCTGCATTTCTTCATCCATCTGGAGTGGGGAGCTTGGCAGAAGAACTCCTCCACAGAACATTTCTGGAGCTTGCTTTCACTTGCTGAGTCCAGCTACAGACAGGCAGGTACTGCCTTTTCTCTTTTTTTATTCTGACATTAGGAATTCAATAACACCCTCTGAGGATGAGCCACCTTCTTCACGATTACTAAAATAGATCCATGACTTCCTGGCTGTGTTTAAATGTGCTTTACTAATATGCTTGATTTTTTTTTTAATTTGCTAAAAAAGATGAGGAAATTGGCACTTTCTTGGTCACAACTACAGCCAGGACTATATTGCATATACACCAAAACATTTGTGTTAATTTCTGTGTGTGAAGATCAGAAAAAAAGCTGTTCCTAAATAAGATATATTTTCCCCTTCAGGATATTGCCACCCATCTCCATCTAATGTTTCATGTAAATTTTTTAACAATTGAAAAAAATTGCAGGTGTTTTAGAAGAACTCTACGGT